TGTCATTTAAATTCAGTTTCTTCCTCCTCAGCAGTGTGACTACAATGACATTGTATTTCCATATAAAGTTATTTACTGCAAAACTGTAAGCTCCTTATTCTGCTGTAAAACAACTATCCGTGTGAAAATGAAAAATGAAATTTTGTTAATTCAATGATTTTTCACCAAAACTCACTGTCTGCAAATTTGCAAACAGTCCTTTACCTGCTATTCACTTAGTTTAATGGTGCTCATTCCACCCAACATTGCTCAGTCAGCACTATGATTTCAAAACAGTTTCACATTTCTTTCTCGCATTGGGATGGAGAAAGCTGGCATAAAAGATAATTTGTAAAAGCGTGGCTGCCTGTGTGATACTCTGTGAGAATGACCTTGGGAGGCAGGAAGAAGAGCCGCAGGCCAGACAGTGGTCAGACAAGAGGCTGCTGGGTCTGCAGGAGGAATGGGGAAGGGGCCAACGCCTCAGAAGGGACCCTCCCTAGTTTCTTGGGCTGTAAAGACGGAGGGGAGAGATTCGCTTTCTGACTTGCACGATTCTATTAAAACTTACAATAATGTTAGAGCTAGTACTTCTAGCTCTTAAATACTTTTTCTCTAACAAAGAGGAAAGCCATGTGTGGTTCTGAAAAGTTAATAATGTGAATATATTGATGGCAAAAAATGTAGGTAAAAAATCAGCACAAAATAATTGATATGAATGCTTGGATACAAAATGATTTTTTTAAAAAAAAATCTCAATCACGAAGTCCACTGATTTTTAGGTCTCTTCCTTTTCCTCACATGTTCTTTCTCCTTCTCCTTCAATCCCTTCACCCCAAAATTATGGTCTCCTCTTAACATTTTTGTCTTTTCTGTAGTTCAGGAAGTACAGCCGCAACATGACTGGAGTAAAGACGAGAGTATTTGAAATAGTCAACTATTTAAATGTGGTAAGAGGACATGGCAAAGGTTATTTCACTTTTTGGATTTAAAAAAACAGCCACCACCACCCAGATTTTCTCTGGCTGTGTTCACACAACAAGCTTAATCAGATGAAGAGACCCTGGAGATGCACTTCCACAAGCATGTAACTTTCGTGGCTTCAAGTGCAGTGAACCTAGGTCATTTGGTAAGCTTGTGATCCAATGTGTAAGGCAATCCCAGAAAATGGGTTAATTCAGTCACCAGGTTACTAAGCAAG